CGCACGCTCTCGCACGCACGGACGCGCACGCGCTCTCGCATTCACGCACGCTCTCGCACGCACGCGCGCACGCACGATCTCACACGCATGCACGCACGCATGCACGCACGCACGCGCGCACGCACGCGCGCACGCACGCACGCACGCACGCATGCACGCACGCACGCTCGCACGCTCTCGCATGCACGGGGGCGCACTCACGCTCGCACGCTCTCGCACGCACGCACGCACGCACGCACGCACGCACGCACGCACGCACGCACGCAGGTAAATGCATGCTGTGTCAACGTCGCAGAGAAAGAAGGGCCGTTGGTTTATTACCGGTTGCCACGGCTCGTGATAGATTGCGCAACTGCTGTCGGTACCACAGTGGCGACGTCGGCATCAGTGTGCCCTCGTGAATTCACTGACGATAAATATTTGATGAGCGCGCTTGCAAACTCAGCGACGTGGAGCGAACCGGCAACAGCGGCTATTTTATTCGCTCCTCTACTCCTAGATGTCTAGTTGTCTATTCGTAGGAGGCGCAATTCTTCAGAGAGAAGGGAATGTAATTGTGGCAGGATTGCGTACGTATACACGGAACCCCGCAATCTCTCAGTTATACGCTTATTATTATTATTATTATTATTATTATTATCAGTTTTTATGCGAAATTATATCTGAAACGATTTCTTTGGAATTTGAAGCCCTTTTCCATCTATTACCTCCAACTGTCCGGTTTCCTCCAGCGCGTTTTACTGTTATTTTGCCGTGGGGGAGGCCGGACGATAACGGGGGGAGGGGCGGAGAGGGCAGAGGGGCGGCGGGGGAGGAAGGGAGAAGGGAGGGGAGCGATGGGTGGCGGGGGATGGAAGAAGGACGTGATGGGTAGCAGGGAAGGAGAACAGAGAATGCCGAGCATCCTCTGTTTACTCTTCCATCTGATAACGCACGTACGCGTAACACAGTATAGTTAAGTTAAGTTAAATCCTTGCCGCGCCTATGCGGAACATAGGCGCATAGGGCGGTGCCCATCTCCGTTTCCGTAACCCTGAGGCCCCCCTACAGTAGCATTTACCATGAAAGCAGCAACGCAATATAACGATACTTTTTAACCCGCCGCTAGGTGTCGCCACCATCACTCACCAGTATGCGTCCGGTGGTCGTCTGCCCGGATATCAGCTCGCCGGCCCAGTCCTTCGCCTCCGTCATCCACGTGACCTCTCCTTCTTCGGGCGTCGCCGATAGAGGCGTCGCCGGCTTTCCGGCGGGCGGCGTCGGCGGCACCACCTTCGGCGCCTCATACTCGGGGTCCTCCTTCCAGGGCCGGCAGCACAGGTAGACGCAGAAGCGGTAGGCGCAGACGGCGAAGATGCAGACGAGAAAGGTGGCGACGGAGGAGACGACGAACGCCCACCACAGCGGTTCCTGCTGCATGCATTCATCCTCCTCGATGCTGCCGCCCTCGAACGACGGCATCGCGACGACCGCGCGACCTCCTCACGGGTTCCTCCCCTCCCCGGCCGCCGCAGCCGACGACGACGACGTCACGCGATGAAGGCGCCACCTACAGTCGCACGGCGGCCGCATGCGGAGCGCGGCGGCGCTACCTGGCGGCGCTGTTAAGCGTCCGCGTCGCGTAGTGACCGAGAGCTAACTCGCGGTCGGCTAGTCTGGTCCGACCTGCTCCGAGATTCCAGCACAACTGACCGGGGTCCGAGATGGCGCGACCAGTAGATCGACCCAACTGACCAGTCCTCGAGGAGCAGCAAGTATCTGGTGAGAAGTGCCAGCGACGGGGGTCAGCTGCGCTGCCTCAGACAATAACAGTGACCAGCGGTCACTGTCAGAGTCCTCCGGTCACAACCTCGGTAATTCAGCAGCAGTGGTAGTCCACGGGCGATGACCGCCACTACAAACAACCGTCAGCGGCGTGGCAACTGGACGCAGTGGTCAGTGAGTGACCGCTACGAATGTAGGAGACTGGTGCACCGTGAGTGGGTAGTTCGTCCAGCCAGCTTTGCAGATCCGCTGACCATCTAAAACATGAATACACCTGGTAGTTAATCTCATGCTATACCAAAGAAAATCTCAAATGAAGAATCGTGGAAAACAACCGACCAGGAACCAATCGCTACACAGATCCTGAGAAGGCAGTGTAACTGGATTGCTAGTAACATCACCAGGCAGGCCTTGACCTGGTATCCACAGGGAAAGAGGGAGAGGGGAAGGCCAAGAAACACGTGGCGTAGAGACACCCAGGCAGAAATGCAGAGAAGCGGTCACTCCTAGAGGAAGATGGAAAAAACAGCCCAGGGTCGAGTGCGCTGGCGGAGCGTCGTCGATGGCCTATGCTCCTCATGGGGCTAAAAGGCCTAAGAAGACACCTGGGGCCGGTTTCACGAAGCGTACTTAACTTTAATTATGATTAAATCACTACTCATTCTTAACTTCCCGTAATTATGATCATTATTAATCATACTTAAAATTCTTCACAGAAATTGAACAGTCACTTTAATTTAAGTACGGGAAGTTAATCATGATTAGTAATTTAATCATGATTAAATACTTATGTACGCTTCGTGAAACCGGCCTTTGGTAGTTAATCTCACGCTACACCTGGTAGCTAATCTCATGCTACACCTGGTAGCTAATCTCACGCTACACCTGGTAGCTAATCTCACGCTACACCTGGTAGCTAATCTCACGCTACACCTGGTAGTTAATCTCACGCTACACCTGGTAGTTAATCTCACGCTATACCTGGTAGCTAATCTCATGCTACACCTGGTAGTTAATCTCATGCTACACCTGGTAGTTAATCTCATGCTACACCTGGTAGTTAATCTCACGCTACACCTGGTAGTTAATCTCACGCTACACCTGGTAGCTAATCTCATGCTACACCTGGTAGTTAATCTCACGCTACACCTGGTAGCTAATCTCACGCTACACCTGGTAGCTAATGTCATGCCACATGGAGCGCAAATCAATGGTGACAATGCAATGGTGACAATACAATGGTGACACTGCACTAAATCAATGGTGACATTGCACTAAATCAATGGTGACACTGCACTAAATCAATGGTGACACTGCATTTTTATTTAAGAAGTTTGTCATAGATTTCCTTAAAAGACGAATACGTGTGACATGCTTTATCCACTTACTAGACTCTATCCCTCACACGAGTGAGCTCCCGTTCGCCAATGAACCCCACAGCTAAACATAATTTGAAACCTGCATGCGCGTTGCTAAGATACGTTAATTGATTACTTTCTTATTAAAAGACGAGACAGTAAAAGGACAAAACAGTTAAAAAAGGATTAATAGTGCGGACATCGGACATCATGATTCTAGCAAAATATTATAATTGGTTCGCAATGCTAATCGTCGACAGCTAGGCAGCATATATGCAGAAATCTTATTTGCGCATGCGAATACAAGAATATGTTTTTCCATTTCCGTTATCGCGCGAGTACAACGATTCGTAATTAAGGTCGCATTGCGCTCCCACCATTCTAAAGCGTAATTGAAAACAATTCAAATTATCAGAGCTCATACGCATTTTGATTCCATCTTCGTACGGGGGCTGGCATCATATGTATGCCATATGTATGTATGTATGTATGTATGTATGTATGTATGTATGTATGTATGTATGTATGTATGTATGTATGTATGTATGTATGTATGTGTGTGTGTGTGTGTGTGTGTGTGTGTGTGTGTGTGTGTGTGT